CGATCTGCTCTTCCACGACGTGTAACCGGGTTGTCCCCGGTTCATGTAACCTTCGACATGCCAGCGTCGCGATCAACGCCAAGCGCACGCAATGGCGGTGACACACCGGCCCCCCCTAGGATCGAACTACGCAGGCAAGGCATGCAATGAATGGGAAGGGAAGAGAGGAGAAGCGAAGTAAGAGGAAGGGTACCCGTGCCCCGCTGGAACGGGCGCCATCCCGCGCACAGGGCTTCCACCCCGCCGCCGCCGCCACCGGCAGCAGCAGCTGCAGCTGCAGGGGCCCGCCACGCACGCACGCACGCCGTATTCGTGTATACCTCAAACCAAGGGAAGCTTGTAACAGTGGTGTGGCACGCACAACCGCCGCCACGAGAGCTAGCGCGAGCCGCGCGCGTCTCTGCAGGCCACAAGCTAGTCGATCGGTTGGTTGGCTGCTGCTGCCGGCGAAGCCCGCGTCGCGTCGCACCCGGAGGCGTGGCGGGACAGCCGTGCTGCCGTACACCGTGCGACGATGGCGTTACCGACGACGCGGCGCGCGCCCTTGAAGAGCGAGCGGTTCTGGTTTTGTCTGGGTCTTAATCCAAGGCTCGAAAAGGCTCATGATTAGTAAGATTTAAAATTTCTCGAACGCTAGTAGGAGTAGTATTATTGATTAATCGAATGGCGATATGCGATATCCGGCGGCCCAATTAACTCTACCCTGAATCATATCACTGTCGCCGTCGGCACAGGCAGTAGCCAGTATAGGCGATGATAGGATAGCTAGGGCTCCTCTTCTTCTTCCCTCGCGAGGAGGCAAAGGCACCGGTCAAAGCGCGCCACGCGGGCAGCCGAGCGACCAGTAGATCCTCCACGTGGCGGGAAACGGTTGGCCACGTCATCCGGCATTGCCGGGTAAACTCTTTTTCTTTTTACAATCCTTCAATATTTTTAGCTAGAAATGAAAAGAAATATAGCTCACCCCATTTTAAACCTATCAAATTTTATATGCTAAAAAGTTTATTCCCTATGGTTTCATATGTTTTGGAAAATGACACGGTCTCTAAAATAAATCTTTGACGATGGTTTTCCATTATAATATATACAATAAGTAAATATTTTTTTATAAATGTTGTTCCATGGTTATTCCATATAAACATGACTGACTGTCTATTTTTTTTATCGGAGTGCACTGTTGTGCAATGGTTTTTTGTAACATCGACAAGGATTCATTATATTGATACTCCTATGCTTGATAGGATCGCATTGAGTGCTTAAACAATATAACAGTGAGGATCCTATGCTTGAAAAAAGAGGGGTGACCCCTTCGATAATTCGACGCTCCTCAATAGCGACATTGGTGATAAGCCACGGTATATATCTCTTTGACACACATCACACTTTGATCCTATTCCCACGTGCTATAAATTAACACGTGATGGTAATTCATTTTCAATTGCCATATTTATGAAGCGGTGAAACTCAAATCCCCGTTTGAAAAAATATGTAGGATTGAAAACCAAGCTATGATAGCACTGCTGCTAACAAAGCATTATTCCTGCCAACGATTAATTAGTGTTTGACAGTGTATATGCCAATCTTCAGATTATTCACACCGTCGTTTGTAACAGCATCATCGAAGATCTAAATTAAAATGACGAGATTGATGTGAGCAGGTATTGACAATTGGTCCCAAAAGCCTCATTTGGAAAAAAAAATTAAAATAAAACGTGATGTACAAAATAAACAGTAGCTTTCATTTCACAATTACCTTAAAAACACCACCAAAAAAATAGGCGTAGTCAGCTCTATTTGCACTAACAGTTAATCAAACGCACAAGTTATCCAACCAAATTATTTGAGAGACACTGTATAATTGTTTCTTGCTTCGTGTTCACGTAATATACAGTAGATGTACATATGCTTCAAACAGCCTCATCGTTTGATATATTGGAGGAAAAAGTGAAACAACATATTTACAAATAAAAAATAATTTGTGAATAAAATTTTCATATATGTGTTCTTAACGATTTAAAAACAAAGACTAAAAAATAAACTACGATGGAAAAAACCCAAATTTAACTTTAAATTTAAAGTTAAAAATTTAAAATTGGCTGATAAGTATAAGTGAAAAGATGAGGCTGGAAAACTCAAAGTGCCAATCATACATGTGCTGGTATATTGACCTGTTCATTGCGGTCTTGCGGAGCCTTGTAATTCATCATAATTCCTCCAGCAGCAATGGCAGTGTTTCAAACTCAAGCACGCATGATGATTTGATTTTTGCATTGATTTGGTTAACAAAGATTTTGGTGGTTTACAATCCCTTTTCCCCTCTGTGATCCAATCTAGCTCATGCATTCAATTGCAATGCATGATCAATGAAAGAGATGGATTGTTCTGCATGCTTCTATCTTGAAATGATTCAGTATTAATTATTTTTTCCAGAAATGATTAATTTATTAAGAGTGGTATGTTTCTTCTTTTCTTGCGTTTGCAGCTGGATTGTGTAATCGGAACCCACACCGATGTGACACACATTTAATTTACCTGGAGTATGACAACTAGTCTTGCAATTATTTTTTTGATGGCGTTTCCCCATGATCATGTTGAGACCATGCATCAAACAAGGAACTAATAGCAACAAAATCATCTTCTTGAATGCTAGATAGAATAAAATCCAGGGCAACTATTCTACTTGACAACTCCCTCCATTTCAGATTATAAGTCATTTTGATTTTAAACAAGATCAAATTGTTTTAAGTTTAATTAAATTTGTAAAAATAAATAGTAATTAACATTTTCAACCCAGGAAATATATTCAATTATAGATGAAACTAATTTTGTGTTGTAAATATTACTATATTTGTCTATAAACTTAGTTAAATTTAAAGTAATTTGACTTTAACCAAAATCAAAATGACTTATAATCTGAAACGGGTGGAGCATCCAGCAAGTTCGAGAAGATTCTCCTAGGGTAAAGTTCAAACTTTGCCATGTTTGGGCTAGACAATTGTTGAATAGGAGTATGTACCATGGCGAATAAGCAAACGCACAGTGTACCATGTTCAATGCACGCAACATCGGAACACACATGCCAAAAATTGTACCCCCTCCGTTCTGCGATATTTATCGAACTGTTTTGACACATCACATAGGAGTAGCAGGGTGGATTCAACATGTAAGCATCAGTCTCGTAAAACCGTCAATTACATTTTGCTATTTACTTTGCTAATACACTTTAGAAATAAAAAATGCTCCAATACAAATGTATTGGCATCACTTGACTAGGGATGCCAATGATATTATTTTCTCAATCCACCCCACCTAGAGGAGAAGGAACTAAACTAATTAAAATATCAACGGTGGAGGACAGTGGAGGCAAATGTGCCCGGCTTTGACCCCCCCACAATTGTATGAAATTTCAACAAGTATTAATAGGATCACTTAATAGATGGATTGTACTTAATTAGTAAGATATAGAATACCCCCGCATTGTTTGATTATATATTTTTTGCCCTCAGATTTTCTATGGTTATGGGCTCATTGGCTATCTTTTATTGAAGCAAAACCGGGATTACTATTATTTTTTAAAGAAAAAGGTTATTGACTTGTGTGTTGTAACATGATGTTCTTCGATACAATTTTTTTATTCAATTTCATTGAAAGAATTGGGCTGAGTGGCTCGTTTATCTTTTCTAGACATATGATTGGATTCTTTTAGAGGAAATCATTTTCTAAAGCAGATGTTATTTTTAAGAGAAAGGAAAGGGTTTTCACATACCGGAAGCGTTGCGGAGGGGATTGACGAAACTCCTTCTGTAAGTAGCAGAAGAGATTTACGTCCTATACTCCTATTAAATAATAACACAAGGAACTAGCTAGTAATCTGTCGACAGTTTTTGAGGCTCAAAGCTTTCAAATTTTTTAACCATAGGATCTTAGCATCCACAGTTGAGTTGATTGAATGGTAAGAAATTATTCAACATGTATAAGGAAGAATAATTCAAAAGTAAAACACATATGCTCTTGAAAAAAATTTGCAAATCCTAATTTTATACAAATGTAACTACCCTGTAACTATCATGTAACTACTATATAATTAGGGTATAACTACTACGTAATTACGGTGTAAGTGCTATGTAACTACTATGTAACTAGGATGTAAATGCTATGTAAGTAGATTAAAGCATATGAATACCTACGGTTGGGCTGGCTTAGTGGTTGGAATGCTGCCCTATGTAAGAGCAAGGTCTAGGATCGATTCCCCTCCACGACACTATATTCTGCTGTTTTTTTCCTTGTTGCCCGCATGAATCTTGGAGCGGATATAAGGGCATCACCAATGTTTACTACCTACTTTGAGAATAAGGGTGCGCCCTGCGTCAGTGGGTATTAGTTGTTGTTGTAGTTACAATGGTGAAATAAAAAAAGTTGGTAGTAAGCTGGACCCCACAACCATTAGCCATGAGAGAGGGATGAGAGAAATCATTTGTTTATTGCTTATGGCTAGGTAATAAGCATATTACCATTTATTACTTACTATTTCACAATGTATATAATCTGGTAGTAGTAGTATTTTATTTCTTACTACCCACTTTATATGCACATTGTGGATGCCCTAAGGGCTGAAAATTTGACAGAAGAAAACTGTCGCAAGTTTTCTATCAATTCCGTAACACAATATATGACGTACATCCATCCACTCAACCCATTCTACCGTATTAAGCCAATGATAAGGTTGCGAAGAAAATAACTCAAACATGCAAGTTTGCCCTTTTGCTTCATTCAAAATCTGTTGGGAAATTCCCTTATCTGGGAAAGAATCCCAAATGTGTCGCCTCTATCTCGCCTCCTCTCACTCCCTTTTGTGCGCAGACAGGTAACCGCCCCCACCACCTTCCCTTCCCCCATCGCACGCAACGCCACGTCAGCAATAATCCGCGGTGTCGCTGACTCGTGGGGCCCACCTCCTCCTCACCCCCCGCGTCGGTGTCCTTTATTTACCCGCGCGCGCGAAACCGGAAGCCCGAAGCCGAAGCCGATCGAGCCAGAGACCGACCTCTCCTCCGCCGCACCGAACTCCGGCGAGCCCACGTGAACACCACCACTCTCCGACGACCGTGCGTCTCGTTGCGTTTGGCTTCTCTTCTCGTCGTCGTCGTCGTCGTCGCGTACGTACGGTGTGGTTCTTGAGGGCGGACGCGACGACGGCGGCGGCGGTGTACGAGATGGAGGTGGCGGGGATGAGGAAGGCGTCGTCGCACGCGTCGATGGCGGCGGCGGCGGCGGACCCGGACGACTTCGACCTGACGCGGATGCTGAACCACCGGCCGCGGATCAACGTGGACAGGCAGCGCTCCTTCGACGACCGCTCCCTCGCTGAGCTCTCCATCTCCGGCACGGCCAGCCGCGGCGGCGGCGGAGGAGGGTACCCGGCGATGATGGAGAGCTACGAGAGCATGTACTCCCCCGGCGGCGGGCTCCGGTCCCTGTGCGGCACCCCGGCGTCCTCCACCCGCCTCTCCTTCGACCCCCACCCCCTCGTCTTCGACGCCTGGGACGCCCTCCGCCGCTCCCTCGTCTGCTTCCGCGGCCAGCCCCTCGGCACCATCGCCGCCGTCGACCACTCCTCCGACGAGGTCCTCAACTACGACCAGGTATACCAAGTCCTCAACTTCTAGCAGCCATAGGGTCTGTTTGGAGGAGCTTTTAGCTGCTGCAACTTTACCCAGAATTAGAAGTTTCCTCAAATAGTCCAGCTTTTAGACTAGATTCTTAGAAGCTGTAGATGTAGAATCCAGAAAATGAACTAGAAATCAGAAACTGAAAAACCCAGCTTTTTTCTAGATTCTTAGAAGCTAGCTACCAACCAGCTGCTTCTCAGAATTTTAATTTTAAGCTCCCCAAACATGCCCATAGTCTCCCACGGACGTAATCTTGAGCTCCTCAAACAATTCACATGTGTTCAAAATTCCGGAATAAATTTTCGAAATTTTGTTCCTATCGGAAAACCCCAAAATTTTTAAATTATTACATTTTAATTTAGTAAAATTTGTTCAAATTTAAACAAATTTTATTTAAAAATTCAAATAATCTCATCATATCAGCACCCCCGATACAAATGCCAAAAACGAAAGATTGAACCCTGCTACCAATCAGCATATATTCTCAAAATCTTAAAAGCAACAATCTGATCGATGAAACTGCACGCATATACACGCAGGTGTTCGTGAGGGATTTCGTGCCGAGCGCGCTGGCGTTCCTGATGAACGGGGAGCCGGAGATCGTGAAGAACTTCCTGCTCAAGACGCTGCTGCTGCAGGGGTGGGAGAAGCGGATCGACAGGTTCAAGCTGGGGGAAGGGGCGATGCCGGCGAGCTTCAAGGTGCTCAAGGACGCGAAGCGAGGAGGGGCGGAGCGGCTGGTGGCGGACTTCGGGGAGAGCGCCATCGGGCGGGTGGCGCCGGTGGACTCCGGCTTCTGGTGGATCATCCTCCTCCGCGCGTACACCAAGTCCACCGGCGACCTGTCGCTGGCGGAGACGGCGGAGTGCCAGCGCGGGATCCGCCTCATCATGAACCAGTGCCTCGCCGAGGGCTTCGACACCTTCCCCACCCTCCTCTGCGCCGACGGCTGCTGCATGATCGACCGCAGGATGGTATGTACTACTGTCGTTCGTTCGTCCTCACTAGCTTCATGTTTGTTCGTTATTGTTGATTATCATGATCGCCGTAATTTATCTAGTTTTTCAATTAAAAAAACTGATTTTCTTTTTGGATTTATATGTTACTCCTTCCGTTTCAGGTTATAAGACGTTTTGACTTTGGTCAAAATTAAACTGCTTTAAATTTGATCAAGATGGTAGAGAAAATTAGTAACACTTTCAACCCAAAGCAAATTTATTATGAAAATATATTCAATTATTGATTTGATAAAACTAATTTAGTATTATAAATATTACTATATTTGTCTATAAATTTAGTCAAATTTAAAACAGACTAAAATCAAAATGTCTTATAACTTGAAACGGAGGGAGTAGTATTGTTGATAATGATCACCATAATTAATCTAGTTTGTCAATTTAAAAAAAAAACTTATTTTTTACACCTATATGTTATTATTGTTGATAATGATCACCATATCTACTTTTATATGCCATCAAAGAGTTAAAAAAAATAGTTTGTGCTGATCATTTTGGCATCAGTTGCTAAATGAATTTTGGGTGAGGCTCCTTACCGGATGAATTTAGCTGCCAGAAAAAAAAAAGTTTCTGCTTTAGCTGATAATAAAGAACATAATGCTGAAAAATTTTGTTACTGATCACTGTCTGGTTAATTGATCCCAATAATCAAAACAGAAAAAAAAAGCACTGTTTGTACATGCATGCAGCTACTGCAGCTCGGTCAAACTAACCGTAACCATCCATATCCTAATCGATAGAAATTAAAACGACTCCCATTCCCAGAAATAAATCGATAACTACACATTTACGCTGATGGATACGATCTGACACCGACGGTGTCGTGGTCACCATGGAATCGAAACTGAACTCTCTGAAAAATGAAATGAAAAGCCAACGCAGTGCCAACAAGCAGCATCGACGCTTCTCGAGTGGTGAAATGCTACCGCACGGCACCAGCAAAGCACCAAGAAGATCCTGCGGACACTAATACTGCTAGTCGTATGAGAGATATGGAAGGAAAGGAACCGCATGATCTTTCGGCGACTAGCCTAATAGCCAAAATTAAGGAGAGGCCAAAACATGAATCTTGACGAACACAAAGCATCTACGGTAGCTGGCTTACGTTTTAGCAATCTCGGGCAAAAGGCTTTGAGCCTTTACATTTTTTTCTCTTGCGCCTGAATAGTTTTACTCCTTTTTTATTCAATAAAAATTTAAATGATTTTTTTTTTGCAGGGCGTGTACGGGTACCCAATCGAGATCCAGGCCCTCTTCTTCATGGCGCTACGGTGCGCACTGCTGATGCTGAAGCCGGACGCCCCCGAGGGGAAGGAGACGATGGACCGCGTGGCGACACGGCTCCACGCACTCACCTACCACATGCGGTCCTACTTCTGGCTCGACTTCCAGCAGCTCAACGATGTCTACCGCTACCGCACCGAGGAGTACTCCCACACTGCGGTCAACAAGTTCAACGTCATCCCGGAGTCCATCCCGGACTGGGTGTTCGACTTCATGCCCAGCCGCGGCGGCTACTTCGTCGGCAACGTCAGCCCCGCCCGGATGGACTTCCGATGGTTCGCACTGGGCAACTTCGTCGCCATCCTTGCGTCCATGGCGACGCCCGAGCAGGCGGCGGCGATCATGGACCTCATCGAGGAGCGGTGGGAGGACCTCATCGGGGAGATGCCGCTCAAGATCAGCTTCCCGGCGATCGAATCACACGAGTGGGAGTTCGTCACCGGGTGCGACCCCAAGAACACCCGGTGGAGCTACCACAATGGCGGATCCTGGCCAGGTTAGTTATTTTGTACTTCGATTGTTTCTATCCTTAGAAAATATAATACCTTCCGATACCTTATTAAGAATGATAAAATTACATCCTACAAATCCCTCCCTTTGAAGTCACGGAAACATGCTGTTCCGAACGTGTTTCAAGTCATGTTTTAAGAATTTTGAACATTTTCTTTTGAGGGGAAGAAAAAAAAATTGAACATTGATATTTTCTTTGAAAAATGATTAGACCATTAGAAGTATGAAAACCATATGCATTTAATTTTTCTGTAAAAAAAACATTTATTAGTACTACAATGACGCACCCAAATCTGCTCACATTTTTCTTTTCTTAAAACAATTTTAACGATTTTTTAGTTGGCATGTATAAAACGAGTGTACGATCCACTCGAGTGACCAAATGAGTAGTTATCTCATCTAACGATCCGAGCATGTTTGTTTTGTGTTGTGTGTTAATTTGCGGCGGCCAGTGCTCCTGTGGCTGCTGACGGCGGCGTGCATCAAGACGGGGAGGCTGAAGATCGCGAGGCGGGCGATCGAGCTCGCCGAGGCGAGGCTGGCGAGGGACGGGTGGCCGGAGTACTACGACGGGAAGCTGGGCCGCTACGTGGGCAAGCAGGCGAGGAAGCTGCAGACGTGGTCCGTCGCCGGCTACCTCGTCGCCAAGATGATGGTGGAGGACCCCTCCCACCTCGGCATGATCTCCCTCGAGGAGGACAGGGCCATGATGAAGCCCGTCCTCAAGCGCTCCGCCTCCTGGACCGTGTAAATTACTAATTAATTATGGTGAAAAAACTTTGATTGATCCATGCAAAAAATAGTACAGAAAGAAGAAAATGTGTTTGTTTTGGGGGATTTTCCGCTTTTTCACAAACCATTCGTTCCGAATTTGGAAGGCGTGGTTTGGGCTAGCTATATGGTTGTGATCAGTTGTACACTATGTAATTAATGATCAAACATAGGGGGGAAAAGAATATGTGGATGTCACATGGACTGAACTTTTACCGTGGAATTTAAACATTTCACACTCACCCTAGGGCCTCGATCTGATTGGTCACTGTCAAACCCAAACTAGTGGAATAATAAATTTTGATTACGTATGGAGGATTCAGTTGCAATTCCCTCACGTGGTTGATGGTTGTGGCTAATATTGTGATCCCTCAAGTAACAAGGCCTATGACTAAAGGCAAGATGCGGCCCAAAATTACAATTGGAAGCCCAGGCCTTGGCTCATTAATTTCTGGATATGGCCCCCTGGTGACAGAGAATCATGCATGCTCAATTATATGGATGTTAGATGATGATGGTTTCAGACACTTAGGCCATGTTTAGTTATCCATGTGAGAGAGGGATTAGAGGGGATTTTATTCTACATGGAATTATTCCTCCTCAATCCCCTCCAATTCTCTTCAATCCCTCAAAACCGAATAAGGCTTTAAACATTTGATTTCCTTACTGAAAGTCAACTACTGAGATAGATGAATATCCCACTGGGTTGGTTACGCTTTGCAATTAGCAGGCATTTTGCTTGACAAGCTGGAGCCTAATGAGTATGGTGTTTTTACAACACGAGGGTTGGTGGCTCCAACTGATAAGTTAGTTCATGCACAAGGCATATATGTTCGCGTTCAGTACAGAGAGGGGGATCAGCAATGCATTGGCGACGCTGGAACAGCAACAGCCTTTTACCTGCCCATCAAAAAAAAATCACTGAAAATTGCCGCAGCATTAATGGAGATTCTAGTGCGTCACTCAGACCCTGTTTAGATGGAAGTAAAACCTATCACATCAGATGTTTGGACACTAATTATAAATATTAAACGTAGACTATTAATAAAACCCATCCATAATCTTGAACTAATTGGCAAGACGAATCTATTGAGTCTAATTAATCCATGATTAGCCTATGTGATGCTATAGTAAACATTCTCATTTATGTAATTAGTTTTATAAGTAGTATATATTTAATACTCTAAATTAGTATCTAAATACATAGACTAAAGTTAAGTCCCTGTATCCAAACACCACCTGAGTCATTTGCCATGCGTCAGAAACTAAATATCCACGAGTCATTTTTCTTCGTCTCTGCAGCAAAAAATGGAAACGATAACGAACACAAGACCTTGGAACGAACACAAAACTAAGGGCATGTGTAGTTCGCGAAAAGATAATTATTTTTGTCACACCAGATGTTTGATTGGATATCAGAAGGAGTTTTCGAACACGAATGAAAAACTCGCATGGAAACCGTGAGACAAATCTTTTGAGCCTAATTAAGCCGTCATTAGTATATGTGGGTTACTATAGCACTTATAGCTAATCATGAACTAATTAGGCTTAAAAAAATCATCTCACGATTTCTATATAAACTGCGCAATTAATTTTTGTTTTTATCTATATTTAATGTTTTATGCATGTGTCCATAAATTCGATGTGTTGTTTCTGGGAAATAATTTTTTAACTAAACCAGGCCTAATATTCACGAGTCCTTTTCTCTTCGTCTCGACAGCGACGTTGAAAAACCTTGGAACGAGGTTGACGACGCCACGCAAGTCTAGTCATTGGTTCGGAATCACGACGGTTTTAAATTACTAATTGCCGTATCGAACTGAACAAAACTATTACTACTAAAGTACTTTATCCGTTTCTAAATATTTGACACCGTTGATTTTTTTAGCATATATTAACCGTTCGTCTTATTTAAATACTTTTGTGAAATATGTAAAAATATATGTATACATATGAGTATATTTAACAATGAATCAAATGATAGGAAAAGAATTAATAATTACTTAATTTTTTAATAAGATAAACGGTTAAACATATTTTAAAAAGTCAACAGCGTCAAATATTTAGAACCGGAACGAGTATTTGCCAGCACAAATAACCGGTTACTGTAGCACGCTGGTCCAAAATCCATCCGTATCTGCAAAAAGAATGTGAAATATGGACAGCAGAAACCATCTCATGCCAGCCTTTTTCATAATCGTTCTGCTCCTCCTAAACAGCAAACGCAGACCAACAAATTCAAAGCAAAACGCAGCTACGCTACGTAACAAACACTTCGTTTAAACGTTTTAAACTTTTTTCATTCATAGGCTTTCAATCCAACCGGGGCCAAGTCGTGTCTCGTCTCGTCACGACACGGTGGCGTTGGGCGCCGGCGCGTGGCGGCCGCCCATGCGGCTGGCGCGCTCGCAGAGCCTGCACGGGAGCGTGTCGAGGCTGACGAGCCGGTTCCGGCCGTAGCCGCCCAGGACGCCGCACCGCCGCCACGCGTGGAACTCGGCGTACGCCGCCGGGTCGCCGGCCACCTCCCTCACGTACGCCGCGAGCTCCTCCGCCGACGCGAACGCGGCGCCGTCGATGTAGGAGCCCGGGGGCGCCAGGTCGCGGGCGTTGGGCGCGCCGAAGTAGATGGGCACCGACCCGGCCTCCAGCGCGTAGTAGAGCTTCTCCGTGGAGTAGCTGTCGGCGATGGTGTTCTCGATGGCGAGCACGAACTTGTAGTGCGACATGGCGCAGTGGAGGTGGTCCCACCACTCCGCCGCGCCGTGGCCGTCGCGGGCGCAGTCCGGGTACAGCTCCAGGGCCTTGTCGCCGCCGCCGACGTTGTTCTCGCACCGGCCGAAGGAGTGCGCCGGGAGGTGGCGGAACAGCTCCCGCGCGATCTTGTTCCGGTGCTCGAAGCACCGCGACGACGACCAGTACACCAGCACGTCCTGCATGCGCGCACCCGCCGCCGGCGACGGAGACGACGATGAATGTTTCCGCCATTTGTGTGCATTCGGAGGAAGGAAGGATTAATTCGAGTTGAGAGTGCTTACGTCGCGCTTGTGGGTGGCGACGTGGTAGTTGTGGGTGATGCGGAAGAACTTGCCGGCGTAGGTCACCTGCACGTCGTCGTCGGCGTGGTAGCCGATGAAAATGTCCTCGTGCCCCGACCGCTTCCTCGTCGGCTCGATGTCCATGAACGCGCGCAGCGGCTCGCCCTGCTTCCTCTGCACCCACGGAGCACAAACAACGTTACAGGTGTTCGATCATGGCGGCGGCGGCGGCGGCGAGGTGATCGATCGTGTACTTACGGTGTCGGGAGGGGGCCAGATCTCGTAGAGCACGACGTCGGGGGTGTCGGCGAGGGCCTCCTCGTTGCGGCTCCAGAGGCAGGTCAGCCCGCACCGGCACTGGTACACGCCGTCGAGGATGTCGGGCACCCACGTCACCCCCCTCACGGCGAGCGCGACGTGGGGCAGCCGCAGCGAGCCGCACGGCGCCGCCTCGGGGTCCTGCAGCGCCGCCGGGCCGGGCGGCGGCGACGACCGCGACCGGTGCTTCTCCGCGAAGGCCGCGCACCCCACCGCCGCGTCCCACCGCGCGTACGCGTCGCGCAGCGCCGTGAACGGCTCCCGCGGCCGCGTCCCGAGCGTGTCCAGGGCCGTGCGCACGGGCGCGCGAGGCGGCGCTGACAGGGCCGACGCGTTCGCCGGCGCGCCCGCGGTCGGCGGAGGGAACGCCGGCCGCGGGGAGGCGGAGAAAGCGGAGAAGTCGAGGAGGGAGGAGAGGAGCACGGCGGCGAGGAGGCCCGCGGCGACGGCCGGGGCGAGGAGGTAGGCGCGGTTGAGCTTGACGGAGTGCGCCGCCGCGGAGACGAGCGACGCCAGCGAGCGCTCCGAGCCCGAGGACGGCGGCGACGACATCTCGCCGGATAATCGCGCCCGTTACAACTCTCGGCCACTGAAGCCGTCGCGGCTACTACCAGCTACAAGGGCATATATACGACCAAAAAGAAAAATCATCTGCTACTTAATAAATGTGGCTTTAACTGTTCATCACTATACAGATGTCACTCACAATTATCTGTTATCTGTCACTCAATATATGTACTGTCTCCGTTTTTAAATAGCTGTGTTTAGATCCAAAGTTTGTTTGGATACAAACTTCAGTCCTTTTTCATCACATCAACCTATCATACACAAATAACTTTTCAATCACATCATCTTCAATTTCAACCAAAATCCAAACTTTGGATCCAACTAAGGTGGTGTTTGGATCCAGGGACTTAACTTTAGTCCTTGTATTTAGACACTAATTTAAAGTATTAAATATAGACTAATTATAAAACTAATTACATAAATAAAAGTTAATTCGCGAGACAATTTTTTAAGCCTAATTAATCCATAATTAGAGAATGTTTACTGTAGCATCACATAGGCTAATCATGGATTAATTAGGCTCAATAGATTCGTCTCGCGAATTAGTCCAAGATTATGGATGGGTTTTATTAATAGTCTACGTTTAATATTTATAATTAATTTTCAAACATCCGATGTGATAGGGACTTAAAAGTTTTAGTCCCATCTAGACAGGGTCTAAACACAGCCATAGTTGATATTGGCACTATTCATCTTTAAAATTTGACTAGTTATCTTTTCTACAAAAGATTTACAAATACTTAAGGAAAACATATCATATTACTCAAGAGTAGTTAGGATGCGATTTTGCTAGATATTTGTCATCAAATTTCTCCCCCTAATATTTGTCGGATGTAATTACAGTACAATCGTAGTATAATTACACTGTAACTTACATGTAATTACACTGTAACTATAATGTAATTTGTATGTAACTTTCAAGAATATCTCGGTAACATGTTATTTCAGTAAAATAGAGGTCCTAGGAACAAATCTTTTCACATATGTGTGTGCTGTGATTTTTTTCTTCTTCACCGGAACGAATCTTGTAATAGATCTAACGATTCAAAATTACGTGAAACTTAATACAAGTTACAGTGTAATTACACTACGATTGTACTATAATTACATCTGTCAAATTTTTAGTAGAAAATTTGTCGACAAATGTATAGGTGGTCCCATTAGGCTGTGCTAGTATGTGCGCTTTCTAAACTTCGCTATCCTCATTTTTCACGTGCACATTTATCAAACTGATAAACGATATATCTTTTATAAAACAATTTTATAAAAAAGTTGCTTTAAAAAATTATAATAATCCATTTTTTCAAAAAATAGCTAAATACTTAATTAATTATGTGCTAATGAGTCGCTCTGTTTGGTGTCTGCGAGGGATTAATTCCTAACTCAATGTGCCGAACAAAGCCTTGGTACTTTTAGTTTATTACTCCATGTGAAGAAGAATATGTGGATTATGTGTTTACAGAAAAGAAAGATTTGAAGAGAGACATCCATCCAAACATTTTTCAAGAATAAATTATAAGCGTGTTGAGAATTGAACATGGGATCTCGGGATTGAAGCCACTTACCCTTTACCACAATATTATTAAGTGTATCTCTGGACTTTGTGTTTAGAGGAACAGCAGCAAATAAAATGGTTTAAAACATTTTCTACTGTATAGAACAGATAATTCTGCTAAGAATTTATGTATAGTAGTACTTAATCGGCTAGAGACAAATTCAAAGGCCACGCGTGTATAGTCTCAATTCTCCCCCTAGTACGCATGCACGGTCGCTGGCTGCCTCCCAAACGCACATGCTTTGATGCTTGTCTCAAAATTCCAAGGCATCTTCGGTCTAATGATCAGTTCAAAGACAGAGATTTTGCTGCATAACGGGGTTGCCAATTGGGGTTAGTTAGTTGGACAGAGCAGAGAAGGTAGCGTCCACGCCACCACAAAAAAACGCTATCGAAATCTCATTGTTTTATCGACGGCTCAACATCGCCGTTTTGGACTTTTACAAAAGTCAAATTTGCTTCGATGTTCATTCCAAATAAGAAATCGCCCTCGATGTTCATGTCCCAACCTCCAAAAGTGCCTACATGTTCGATCGCTATTTGCTCGGCCATTTCAAAATTTCTTTTAATTTCAACACGGAATCTTTCCACATTTCAGGCTGTGTATAGATCCAATGGACGGCCCAGTAAAAGCCCAGTAATGTGGAAATACGCTTTCCGGCCCAGAAGGCGTGTTTCGTGCTGTGCGTGGCCCGCGAGTACCCGCGAAGCGCGAATGCACGATTACGCTTTCGAGCCCAGAACGCGTGTCCCGTAATGTGCGCGTCCCGCAAAGTATCCGCGAAAGCACAGCGCACACGGCGCGTCGCTGGGCCCACCTACCAGAGAGTGCCTCCGCCGTAGCCAAGCTCGCCGCCGGCGGAGACGATCGGGGCGGCGGAGGCCGAGCTCGGCGGAGGCGGAATGGCGCCGAAGAAGAAGCAGCAGCAGCAGGCGCCGAAGCAGAAGCAGAAGCCCAAGCACTCCTCCACCTCCTCCTCGTCGTCCTCGGCCGGCGGCGGCGCCGCCTCCGCCGCGCCGCGGCTCCAGATCTCGTCGGAGAACGAGCGCCGCCTCCGCCGCCTGCTCCTCAACTCCGGAGCGACCGCGGCGCCAGCGCCCGCGCCGGCGGATGCTCCCGCGGCGCGTGCCGAGTCGAGGGAGCAGAAGGCGCGGCGGCTGCGCGGGGTGTACGACAAGCTCTCCCTCGAGGGCTTCTCCTCCGCGCAAATCGAGCAGGCGCTCTCCGCGCTATCGGTTCGTGCTCCCAAGCACTCGTTGAGCACCCGCCGTGCGATGGAATTTGGTCGTTTCTGTTGTTGATGATGATTTGGGGTTTAATTTTTGGGTGCAGGATTCGGCTACGTTCGAGTCGGCGTTGGATTGGCTGTGCTTTAATCTGCCCGGCGATGAGCTCCCCCTCAAGTTCTCCAGTGGCACCGCTTCCTCTTCTGGGGCTGGTATGCGGTTTCGCGGGTTTAGGGCTTAGCGCTTCGTGTCTACTGTCTAGTCTCATTTCTGTTTGAACTGTGAACTCTGCCATCTCTGCGTGTGCATTTGCCAGCATCAACATGTTTGTCAGATCATATGCATGAAGTTGCAATATATGCTTCTGCGCATACAATGATTTGCCTGCGTTCTGTGCTTTACTGGTTCCAAGTTTGAAGTAGTGCTTTACATATTTTGCTGCATTTGTATTTGCGCTGCAGTTATTCTGCATTTTAGGTTCTGCACGTATGCACACACCCATGAACTGCAGGGTTGGTGTGCTCATGCTTGTGTTTTCTCATAGAGGCATGGATTGGTTCGAAACTTTTAAGTGTTGAGTGTTAAGTCTATCATGTTTTGGCTGTGTATGCTTTAGAGTCTGCGTTTTATAAATCCATTATCTAAAAAAGAAGTCTATCATGTTTAAATCAGCTGTTCATTACTTTTCTAGGGCCTTTAGGGACAGAAGGCTCAGTTAAGGTAGTATCAACAGCGAAAGACAATTGGGTGCCACAGAGTCGTGAGTCAGAGGAGGTGCAGGGGAGCAATGAGAGGTTGGAAATTATAATTAGCAGGCGGCGAGAAGAAGATGTGACATTGGATGACGGGCAATCATCACAAGCTGCATGGATTCGGCAGTACATGGAACAACAAGAGGAGGTATAGGTGACAGATGTTCAAACAAGTGATTTTGTTCCTTGGATTGCTGCATCAAATATTGAATATCGATACTCTTTTAATGACTGTTTAAATTTTTAATCTTGTGCAATTTTGCTTTATCTGACAAGTATTCTATTTTCACTCCTTGAAAATATCTTGTATTGTTTTAATATCAAGCTGGTAACACAAGATAGTAATACTTTGGGACTCTCTCTCCGTCACACCAATTTAAATATTTTATCATCTTTTAACTCTTCATTAATTAAAATGCTCTCCAATATGCGTGTTCGACTGTTTATTTTGCAGTAATATGTTTGTAAACATGATAGGAAGCGTTATGTTGCGAACGTAATTATAGTGACATACCTTATTACATTTGTGATTGAAATATTCTAATGTACTGAATGCCGTTTAAAGTTAGTGACAAACATCTTATGCATTTCAATCCACTACGAATTGGATGGTGCTCCGCTAAACTTCGAGATTAAGCTTATTCAATGTATCTCTCTTCTTTTTCTTTTAATTCCTGTTTAATGTATATTGGTGCAATTATTCCTTTTTCTTGCTGCTGATGTTAGGAAGATGATGTGAATTCTAATGATTCCTACACATGGGAAGATCACTGCCCACCAAGTTTGGAAACTGCTGAGGCAAAGCCAAGTAGGCGAAAGAAGAAGGGTACACATAATACTTGTTGAAGGATATCGATTCTATAGTGAACCATATGAATTTTCTCTTCTAATTGTGACTAGGTTTTGAATGCTTATATGTAGTTCAGGCAGGTTTATATTATGCCTTCTTGTTTGATTGTTTTCAGGTAAACAAGCGAAATCCTCATCTGGAAACTCAAAGGAAGATCTCAGCAGTTCAGATAATGTCTTTCCAAATTCTGATATTGCAAATGCTGAGGGTGATCTAGTTGACTCTGGTGCAACTGGAAAGAAATGTGAGAGTCCTGTCCATATGGATGGAGGATCCAGTTTGGAGAAAAAAATGTCCAAGGATGTTGATGAAACCAGCACAAAGGAGGTAGAAGAAGAGGAAGTAGAACTTGATAACCTGTTTTTTGAAGACTCTTCTGCTTGGGAGGCAGTGGCTCCAGAAATACTAAAACAGCAAAAAATAGAGAAATTATCACATGATGGTTATGGGCATCTTCTTGGAAACATAGATGATATATGGAAGAAGGTCATGTGCATCTGCACCACTTTATATTAACGCCCCTCCTCCTATTGTCATATTTATCTTTAGAATTTTGGAGGTGTTTTTGCTGTCTTGGTTCTTGATTATAATGCCGCTTCTCTCAATTTTGTTAGAGAAACCTTGTTGTATACGGAGTAGGATAGTTGGGGTGGCCTTTATGTGCTGCAATGTTCCATGCTACTTGCTCCTAAAAGCTGCATATAAACCATTCAAGTTTCAGTAAATTACCGTACTAGACAGTGAGAAGAGAACACAACTAACATATCTCACTTGTAACGATATTTGAGGAGATCCATTATTTGGGCAATGGGCAGAATGTAACAATTCGAAATATTGCTAAATAAACAATGAACCAACAAAGCTGTTTAATCTCTGGCGTGCATTTGGTTCTAACTATTTATTGTGGTCTGCAGGGAGATTCTGGTAAAATGCCAAAGGCTGTTCTGCAAAAATTCTGTCAGAAACTTGGTTGGGAAGCGCCAAAATACAGTAAAATATCTGAAAAGGATCGTAAATTCATATATGCTGTTAATGTACTGCGTGGCTCTACTGGTCGTGGTAAAAGTCGGAAGGCTGGAGGCTTGACAAAAGTCGAGTTAACTGAACAAGATAAAGAATATGCATCTGTTGAGGTTAGTATTGACAAAATGAACACTCTGTTACTTTCTAAAATATCTCAAAAATAAAAACAATTCGTTTTTATTTCAATGAGAAATGCAAGTCTTCATATATACAGATGTCAATGGCTCCATGCACTATCCTATGCATCCAAAGTGCTCAATGTTCTGTGCAAGAACATCAAAATTCTTAGAAGATGGGGCGTTGCTTTAATTTTGGAGGCACACCAATCCCCAATGCGCATTGGATGGATATGATAGTGCATGTTAATCTGTTTGGGAAGCTATCCCATTTCCACTGCTTATTCAGATTTATTTCTTCATTTTTACCTTTCATGCTTGTTAGTATTAACTATTCTGATTTCATAATACTGAGAAAAGAATATACATATCATCATTCCTTGTCTAGAATTGTATTTCTGAACAATAAACATTTGCTGAATTGGTCGACAGGAAGCACAAAACAGAGTGGCAGCTTTTGCTCTATATCAATTTTTCGCTGATCTTTCATTGCGCCAATTGCTTATTGAACCATATGCATCACTTGTTTTAAGATGGCAAGAAGGTTAGATAAATTGATCTTGCTTTCTTCTGTGATGAATCACGATTTGTTGGGGCCTTTGGGCTACATATTACATGGTTTTGGCAAAAAAGCAGGGGAGTTATCATCATCATCTTCAAGGGTTATGGATACTGAGGATAGTCGAAGAGCTGGTTTTGTGGATAAGTTGTTGGATATGGATGCGAATACAACTCCACATCAAGTTGAGGATGCGTCAGATGGTGCTACATCTGTTGACTCTAGGAGCATCGAGGACAGCTACTCTGTTCATGAGAAGAAAGAGACCTATCTGGTGAATCGTACAGGTAAGCTTTGAATAAAATCATCATTTCAGTTTTTTGTCTTTATGAATAATGTGTGAAACAATCATGATTTGGATGGTGACCATTTTTTACCTTCCATAACCTTTTAATCTGTCACTGATGACAGACTTATCTTCTCCATTCTATCAACTTTCTCGACACCAATGAGGTTTCTCCTATGTAGAATCTATTTTCACAGAATTATAACACCTTTTAGCTATATTTCCATTTGGAATCTTGCTTTATTTCTCTTGCTCACAACATGCATGCCGTGTATTTTGACCTCATTAGTTCTCTGAGATATTCATGCTATATCTTTCTTTTTCTTCTAATTGAAATAATCTTTTTTTTTGTTTTAACTGAATAATGATCAAACGAATGTATTAAGTATTTTTCCTTTATAGATTATTCCTTCTTGCCTCTACTAGACTGCTAATAATGTAAGTGTAAGTATAATTCCTGTCAGGATATCTAATGTGGCTTTTCTATGATCAGGATCGAGATCCGCAGAGCAGGTGGAAAGCACAGTGTTGAAAAAACATTTGGAAAATAAAATGAAGCAGTCGAGCTATTTGGTAAGAGTGATATACATTCTACTATACTGTTCTTCTAATTTAATACCTTTTCTTTTGCCTTTGACTCTTTGTGACGAATTGCCTCATCTTTGTATTCAGAAAATGCTGGAAGCAAGAGCTTCTCTACCAATCTCTAGATTCAAAGATCATTTTCTACAGTTACTGAAAGAGAATGATGTGATTGTTGTTTGCGGAGAAACCGGATGTGGGAAGACAACTCAGGTACCCCCCCACAAAGGCTTCATTCTTGGGCGCTGCCAGTTGTTATTCCAGCTTTAAAAGATAACCATATCATGTGCAAAACATCATCTTTTTTTATGCCTTATCCCTTTATTTGGCTCCCTGAAATTATAATATTTACATTATTGGTGATGGTGAGGCATGAGAAATAGTGAATTATCTGCTGCACGAAACTTGTCATAACAAGTCTGATGGCAGTCGTGGTTTCCTATAGTTTGGGAAGCCAAGTAGCTCTGAAACTCCCACTTGCTTGCCTAACTTGATCTAGGATTTCTAGACTATAGACCTGACTTTTCCCTTAATGACTCTATCATTCTACATTGTTTTTAAAACAACTTGACTAATTGAGTGCAACAGGCTAGGATATACGGGGCCATGCTTAACATATTCAACAGGAAGTGCCTTCCTATGTGTTTTAGGATCTTATTCTTTCCATGGTCCATTTTCACCTATTGGAATGTGTTAATGAACTGATCTCATGATATTCTTCATCTCCCAGCCAATCAGCTTCTATTATTTGACGATAGGTATGCTAGCTGCTATTGGTACAAAGTTAGGTTTGCATATATTCCTTGAACATGTAGAAAGATATTCAATACTAGATGTTATGCAATACCAGCTTGTATAGTTTATTCTGATCTTTCCAGAAGCATGGAGTTTTACATGATTATATTATCTTTCATTTGCAGGTGCCACAGTTTATTTTGGATGATATGATTGAATCTGAGCTTGGTGGTTACTGCAGCATAGTCTGCACACAACCCCGGAGGATAGCGGTATGATCACAGTGCAGACCTTGATCTTTTCTTTATCTTTCCGGTGCAGCATATTAGCAATACATTGCAGGCAATATAAAAATTGCATGTCATATTCATGAAATCACTTCTGGGATAATAAATTCATCATAAAGTACAATATCTTAGTGTTGTTACTGTGAGATCATCTGGTATGCTAGATATCCTTTTTATATGATGATCACGCAGCTTATACTAAACAGATCTAGATTGTTGAATATAACGTGGTATAGCTACTCACTTGTAGGCCATTTCAGTGGCTGAAAGAGTGTCTAGTGAGAGGTGTGAATCTTCTCCTGGATCTAAGGATTCTTTGGTCGGATATCAAGTTCGTCTTGACAGTGCTCGGTATTTGGTCTTTCTCATATTCACATTATTATATGTGTGAAAAAATTCTTGTAATTTTGCATTGAAGATCCCTATGATGTATTCAACTTTGTTCTTTCTACTGTTTTAGGAATGAAAGGACAAAGCTTCTGTTCTGTACCACCGGTATCCTTCTTAGAAAATTATCTGTAAGTAGTGCCGTCATGTTAACATAGTTTGTCTTGTGCAATATTTTTATTGCATGTAAAGCTAACATTATAACATCCCTCCACTTGTGTTTCAAGTCATGTGATGATAGTTCCTAAGAAATTATTTCCTTTTCATGCTAATTTCAGGGGAACAATGATTTAAGTGATGTTACTCATGTAGTAGTAGACGAAGTACATGAACGTACTATTTTGGTATGTACATGTTTGTGTCCTTTCCCTTTACGAATCAGACAATGTTTTCTTTTGTTTCTATGGTAGAGGAAGTCCATGAATGATCCTGATTTCCCAGTTTTCAGGGTGACTTTCTGTTGATTGTTCTTAAGAGTCTTGTTGAGAAGCGTTCTAATCAACCAGGAAGGAAGTTGAAAGTGATTCTCATGTAAAACCAAATTCTTTTTTTTTTGTCTTTATTCTTTTCAGTTTGTAATTTTGTTTACTGCATTGATAATCAGGAGAATCTAATGTTTACTTCCCCATGTGCTTTACCTTCAGGTCTGCTACTGTTGATTCAAGCCTATTTGCTCGGTATTTTGGAGATTGCCCTGTAATTAATGTTGAAGGGAGAACACATCCAGTTTCATCTCACTTCCTTGAGGATGTTTATGAGAAAATGGAGTACTGTCTTGCTTTGGATTCTCCTGCATCAGGAGCATACTTTCAACAGCATGGAGAAAAGGTTTACCTTACTCATTTCTCATTCTTAATGAAGTTTATATCCTGCAACAGCTGCCGTGTGACTCTTACTATTCTCTCTGGATTACTAGATCTGATGAACATCCCCTTGTCTTCATTATATTATGATGAACTATACATGTCTTAGGGTCATATCTCCATGTTGGTCTATTACCTGTGTTTTATTACAACAATTTTGCATAGCCATGAGCACGCCATGCAATTTGTTTAACATATATAACTGACCCAACATGAAGTAAGGACTTGATAAGATACCTCCACAGATAAGATCTATTTAGAACTTGGGATTATTTTAGTGGAAGTGTATGATACATGATTTTACCAGAGACTATATATATAACAGCCATATGATCTTCATATCCTCAGAGCTAGCCAGATGGCCGTTTGGCAATCATTTTACTTTGTGTGTTTATAATCAGTACTGTATACTGATCTTTTTTTTTTTTCATTCTGCTCCAGTGGAAGAATGCTAGTAGCACAGTGAATAATCGACGGGGAAAGAAGAACCTTGTTTTATCCTCATGGGGGGATGAGTCAGTGCTTACTGAAGATTATGTTAATCCTCATTATACAACTGATTGCTATCAGTCATACAGCGAAAGGACCAACCAAAATCTGGTAAGTTTCATGCCCCAAACCAAAAATTTTGCGCTCTTTTTTAAAATATAACTCTGGCGGACTAAAGATTTTCTGTTGCTACCTCAGAAACGCTTAAATGAAGATGTGATTGATTTTGATCTGTTGGAAGACTTGATATGCTATATTGATGAGAACTGCCCCCCTGGCGCTGTTCTTGTTTTTCTTCCTGTAAGTTCAGGGTGTCACGCCAGCTTAATGCTTCATTTCTTAATAAACACCTTGCAATATTGATGATTGATCACCATTTTTCGTCTGTGATGCTGCTCAGGGAGTCGCAGAGATTGATATGTTGATTGATAGATTATCTGCTTCTGTTAGATTTGGAAGGGAATCATCTGATTGGATTCTTCCTTTGCATTCACTGCTTGCACCCACTGATCAAAGGAAGGTGTTCCAGTCACCACCAGAAAACATTCGCAAGGTGATTCTCTTCACCCAGGACCTACTGAGTACTTAGTTACTTACGAGTACTTACGACTTTTGTGCTTCATGATATTGCAGATTATTGTCGCCACAGACATAGCAGAGACCAGCATTACAATTGATGATGTAATTTATGTAGTTGATACTGGGAAGCACAAGGAAAATCGCTATAACCCGCAGAAGGTCACCTTTCTCTTGTTTGTGCCTGTAAATTTGAATGAGTACAAATATAGCACTTGTACAATCCTTTCCCAGGGATTTTATCCCTTTTATTTTCATGATTTGTTTGTCTATGGTGCACCTTCGATCTGCCAAGGCTGAATAAAGTTGTCCTCGATGAGCCTGTCCATTTGGTTAAATTTGTGCTGGTTCTTTATTGGAACTAGACCATATATGTTAGAAACTTTTGGACTCTGGTCTTGTCTTTGTCTGTTAATGGATCTTGTGAAAATTGCATCAGCTGGTCCATCTAACATAGCACTGCTACCATAAAGATTTACCCTTAGGTCCGTTGTCATCAAAACTTCAAGTTTTTTTTATTAATATTTAGTAATGTGTGGTTTTCTTTACAAAATTCTATCTACTGGATGCCTTTGCACTAAAATTGACTATTTAGTTATTTAAAATCTTGGAAGTTAAATTCTGATTGAAGTAACATGCTTGGATTCTATATAAACAAAAAATGCTTTTGAAAGTCAAAATAAAAATGCTTGATGCTTGGCAACTTGGCATTATTTGTTGTGGGGTTCTATTAGGCTACATTGTGAGCTCATGGGTTGGACTTCTTTAACCCATGTTTACCGGAGTAATAATCACATGAAATTCATAAGTTGGCCATGAGCTCAGCCTATCAACTTTTTTATGCATGTGTTGATATGATAAATCATCTCAAAACATATCTAATAGAAGCTGTTTTGTCATATTTTGTTTGCAGAAAATGTCAAGCATAGTAGAAGATTGGATTTCTCGTGCAAATGCAAAACAGAGACGAGGACGGGCTGGTCGTGTGAAGCCTGGGTTGTGTTTCTGCTTGTATACTCGCCATCGTTTTGAAAAAATGATGCGCCCATTTCAGGTTCTCTAGTTACAAAAAGATACTAAATTCAAATTCTGCACCAGAGATTCCATATTTTAGTATCTGTAACATATAAAAAAATGAGTTTGCTTACGAACATGAGCTATGTTTATGTTAATAGTTTTGCTAAGGACAAGTACAATTGTCCTAAGCAACATCTGTAACCATCATGCTTTGATATTTCTGTCTATTATGCTTGAAGGTGCCTGAGATGCTGCGGATGCCATTGACTGAGCTGTGTTTGCAAATAAAATCACTTCATCTGGGTGGCATAAAGTCATTTCTTTTAAAGGTATATTTTATCTTATCCTCATCACTTGTCTATTTTTGTTTTCTTCACATGCATCTATGCAATCTTGCATGATCTCTCTAAGATTGTATGAACGGTTATGCTTCTCTGAATGTGTTTGTGCAGTATCATTAGTTGATGCAGTTTTTGCTAGGAATTTGTGGACAACTATCTGTTCTACTTTTTTTCTTTACCAGAAGTTCTGCTTTCTGTTTGTGTCAGCTGTGAAATTGTGATGCCAAATAATCATATTTCATATCGTATTGTTTCAGGCCATAGAACCCCCTAAAGAAGAAGCTATCTCCTCTGCTATTGACTTGTTATATCAGGTTCTATTCTGCCTTTTGTCATATAAATCTTTATTCATGTGTGCATATTAGTAGCAGAAACATTTTTGGCATATCCTTTTGTAGTTCTTAACCAAACTTTATACTGTCTGGTGTCATGTGTAGGTTGGAGCATTTGAAGGACATGAGGAATTATCACCTCTTGGCTATCATTTGGCCAAATTGCCAGTTGATGTTTTGATTGGAAAGGTGCGGCTAAAATATAATTTTCTGGCTCATTCATCAAAAGTGACATAGATATTTAATGCATACATTTCAGCATAGTAACTAGCTACATGTTGTTGTTTGCTAGCATTTGTCTGTGCATGGCTGTGTGGCAATATCACCATAAATTCTTCAATGTATGTAAATATATGAGTTAGTTGTAGGCATTAGAGTTGTATAACTTTTTATATTTCCAAATAAGAAAAGATAGCTTGCTGTATCTAACCTCACATTTGCATTGGAGATTTTGTTTGTCATGTTAAATGGCGAAGTAGCAGATAGTTGTTAATGTTGTTTCTTTTCTTCAATCTGCGTGCAAACAAAGACAGCCCAGCCCTTTTCATGCCTAATCTATATTCTTATGTACATAAAAAAAATTCCATATGAAATACCTTTTTTTCATTCCATTCCTTAACTACAACTTTAATCTTCAGTTCTTCACTACAGTGCCCTATTCACAATAAACTTCAGTGAGCTTTATTATGTTCCATTTTTTCCGAGAACGCCCATGGGAACTGCATGTCATTCCATTAAAGAAAGAAGAACCTACAGTACATCACAACTCTATTATGTTCTTCATGTCCCTTTGGAATGTCTTTATTTCCTACCTTTTATGTACTTAACTCTAGTGCACAGTAATTTTTGTAGGCAATACTGTATTTTTTCACACCTCTGTAATTGACTAACAGTAAGAGTTTTACCACTTATTTTTCATATCTGTGGCCCTTTGAGCATTCCCAATGGTATTATAGTTCTATACAGATAATTCAGGGTTCATAGAAATAAATAGTTTCTGCATGTTATTAACAAATAATGACAGTAATTGTTATGTTTGTTCCATCGATTTGTGGAGCATTTGTAGTACTTTACCTATTTAATGTTTTGCTTTGATTTGTCTTCTGTGCGACTGCAGATGATGCTCTATGGTGCTATCTTTGGCTGCTTATCTCCCATTCTTTCTGTTGCTGCTTTTCTGAGTTATAAATCCCCATTCATCTCTCCAAAAGATGAGGTATTATGATATTATCGTGGTCAATAATTTATATAATCTGGATATGCACTATCATGACATTGTTTCATTGATAATGCAGAAGCAAAATGTGGAGAAGGCAAAGGCTTCATTGATGAATGAAAACCTTGATGGATCTGCTTCTACAGCAGATAATAAACAATCTGACCACCTGTTAATGGTTATTGCATACAATAAGTGGTCTCGCATACTAAGAGAGGTCATAAAACTTATTTCATCTACTCGAATACAATTTTGTGACATTAGATACATTTGTTACGTGCTCATGTGTACTTAGTATCATGTGTTCCTTTATATTAGACTACTATCAGAGTAATTTTGCAGTATATGTCAGCCTGTAAAAAGAAAAAAGAACATCAGTTCCAAGGTTTTCTAATATGTGATTTTCAATTGCAGAATGGAGCTAGATCTGCCCATCAGTTTTGCCGTTCATTCTACTTGAACAGTACAGTGATGTATATGGTCAGGTTGGACTACCTCAGTTAGTCAGTTTATACTTTATACAAAAGCTTGATGCAAAAGAATAAGATTTTCTTAAGGGCTTATCCGAATTTCAGTTACAGCGTTTATATTTTCAAATGTTAGACTAATTTTTTGGGTTATCAATCAAGGGCACCTTCTTTAACTACATATATGTCACCACCACTAATCTAGTAAGAGAGAATCAGTATACTTGTGTTATGATTTTCAGAAAGTTTCATTCATTAATGGATTTTTTCTGCAAAAATATTTAACCGTGGTAGTGCACTATTCAGCATGGTCTTAATAACACTTCAAATCCTATGGTCTCAAATTAAATGTGTGAACTTAGAAAGACTAAGTTTAGGTGGGTAAATTCCCCCTATGTGTGTATGCTACAAGAAGTCACAAACTGTTTCTCGAGTGACTACTGATTCTATAAGTGCAACCATTGTTAGAGTCAAGTTTAGGTGTGTTAAGTTTTCTTTTTTTTTTCCTCCAGATCTGCTAGAGTCGGTTCAGCAACTGTCTACGTGCAACCATTGTTTCTAAAGTTTATTCATATTTAGTATGAAATATAAAGCTACTCTCTCCGTCGACAAATATAAGGACTTCAAGCTTTTGAAATTTGTCCTTGAATATAACAATGTATAGAGTACTATACTTCTCTTACCAACCACCTCATTTAATTTTCAACTAATTTTACCCCCAACCACCCTTCTAGATTTTTTACGATTTGGTCCTTTTCTAAAACTTATTTTACAAAGAGACCCTTGGAAAAACTTATTCCAGGAATAGTTCTTTTTGTGGCACCAGAGGCGCTGCCGCCGTGGTCCAACTGGACGGCACCAACATCTTTGGCGTCGTCCCCGTGCCACTATGGCACCACGTGGCCGCCCTGCGCTGATGTGGTAGGAGGACAGCGCCCCGTCCACCCACCCCCCACCCCCCTGGCGCCAGCCATACCGGCGCGCTCCCCTCGGGGGGTGGGCAACACTTAACTGCGCGGGCCCCACCTATATGCATCTACCCACCCATTCGGCCCCTCCCCAGCCTGAGCAGGGCTGTTGCGCTTTCTCTCTCTCCCCCCTCCCTTACCTCCTCAAATCCACTCACTTTGGAGCCGTTTTTCATGAGATTTTTTGGGCTAATCGAAGAGCAAGGTATTCTCCTCCATTGTGGCCTCTTTTTTTTCGTTTTGATTGGTGGAATTTTGTAGATCGGAGGGTAACCCTTAGAACCAATTTTTTATTTTTTGCAAATTTCGTGATTTTGACCGTTGCAAATTGGGATTTGTTGATTGTAGTGTTAAATGTGTGCAATGTGCTCGTTGATGCTACGATTATTTGGAGTATATATGTGGTCATGTTGATTTTTAGGTGAGACATGAACGGGGTTGTATGGAAAAATCGATTACCACATATATACTCCAAAAAAATCCCCTAAAAATCAACACATGTATACTAAAAAAAAATCGTAGGACCAATGAGCACATTGTACACATGTAACTCTACAATCAACAAATCCCCATTTGCAACGGTCAAAATCACTTTTTTTGCCAAAAAAAGAATCGGTTCTAGGGTTACCCTCCGATCTACAAATTCCACCAATTAAAACGAAAAAAAGAGAGGAGGAAATGGAGAATACATTGCTCTTCGATTTCCCCAAAAAATCTCGTGAAAAACGGCTCCAAAACGAGTGGATTTGAGAAGAAGAGATGACGGGGAGAGAGAGACAGCAAGAACTCTGCTCAGGCTCGGGCTGGGGAGGAGGGGGTGAATGGGCAGGGAGGGGGTGGGGCCCGCGCGGTTAAGTGCCGCCCACCCCCTGGGGAGAGTGCACCATTATGGCTGGAGCCATGAGGGGAGGGGTGGCGCCAGTATGGCTAGCGTTGTCCTCCTGCCACGTTAGCGCATGGCAGCCACGTGGTGGCACGGGGACAGCGCCAAAGATGCTGGCACCGTCCAGTTGGACCACAGCACTAGCGTCTCTGGCGCCCCAAAAAGGACCATTCATGGAATAAATTTTTCTAGGGGTCTATTTGTAAAATAAGTTTTCGAAAAGGACCAAATTGCAAAAAATCCAGAACCACCCTTCCCTCCCTAACTAATACTCATTTAATGAGGGGCATATATCCTTTTCTCTCATCCTTAGTCTCTCCAATGAAGGGTAAAAGTCCTTATATTAATGGACAGAGGGAGTAACTAAATTTCACAATAACACTTTTTTACCCTTTCAGAGACATGCGACTACAGTATGGGACATTATTAGCAGACATTGGACTTTTGGATATTCCTAAAGATAGCCTGGTATGTCTTTTCATTATGGAGAATTGCACTAGGGATATCATCTTTACTGGAATGCAGACTTATATCATGTTGTTCATTTTCTTTAGTTGACTGAGTCATAACAGTGACAATTTTGTATCTCTAGTCCTTTTGTCCTACAAGCTAAGTATATGATGACTAGCAATATATAATCATCACATGATTGGACAGCTAAATGCTACAGTACATATAGAGTTGTAGTTGGAAACATAGGCTCCTGTAGCTCTTAGCACCTTAGTGACAACCTTATGACTAGTTCAGTCAATCACTTCATATATTACAATTGACTAATTTATACCAATGAAAAGTTATAAATGCAATGGTCAAAGTCACATGAAGACTAAAAATTAGATAATGTTAAAAAAGGACTAAATTTGAGGGAGCAAGTTAGTTTCTTTTTGGGAACTTTAAAAGGGTACCCTAACTTAAATTGGTAATGTACTTTCCCAGCCAAATGCTGCCAAAGTCCTCTATTTCTAATTTGAACGGGGACAGACATCATAATCGATCTTCTAATGTCAATTAATCCTAATATTTTTCAGAGGCCTGTGGATGGAACGAGGAAAAATACTCTTGAGAGTTGGTTTGCGAATATGTCTCTTCCATTTAACTTATATGCTCGTTACTCCTCAGTTGTCAAGGTAATGGCATGATTGCTAAACATTTTTGACTTTTTTTAACATGTGCCAAAGTACAAAATAAATATGATCATGTTGATGAGATTAATATCCTAGTGTAATGCTTGTTTACCTTTAGTAATCTGTATAAGCTGTTGTTTCACTTAGTTCAATTTGACGCTAATATGGTTCATTTCTGGAAAATGCTTATGTGGCATTTGCAGTCAGTCATATGCGCAGGTCTATACCCTAATGTTGCAGCTACTTTAGAGGGTGTTGATCCAGGAGCTCTAGGTGGCAGGAAGCCATCTGATTTTCTGTCTGGAAAGGACCGTCCTCGATGGTATGATGGACGACGAGAAGTTCACATACACCCATCATCTATGAACCACAGCTTGAAAGCTGGTCAATATCCATTTTTGGTGTTTCTTGAGAAGGTATCCTTTTGACTTGAACATGAATGGGGTGCACCATTATCATTATGTTGCATAAGATACACTTGTAGAAATGTGGAATGATATACCATATAAAAAAGTATTTACGATGGTGATCTGAGGAAAAAATATTGTATTTTTGAATCTCTGATACTTTTGATTCTCTCTATTCCCTATATTCAGGTTGAGACAAGTAAGGTATTTCTACGTGATACTAGTGTTATTTCTCCTTACTCGCTCCTTCTGTTTGGTGGTACCATGGTTATCCAACATCAGGTATTGTGGTCTCTATCCAATCCTAGACTATTAGGCTTAAGATACCGAACCCCCATCCTCTTATTTCTATAAGGGATGCAGTGCCTGTGCCTTTTCTTGTGCTCACATCACATGTTAGATATTGGCACTTGTCAATCAAAAGAGAAACTACTCAGTATAAATTATTAGTTTTTGTGAGTAATATATGTGAAAAGTGAAAAATTGCATCAATTTTAGGGCTTTCAGTTTCACATCGATCTGTTTAAATCAGTTAGGCAATTTTTCCTCCCATGTTCTTGTTTAAGGGAAATTCATTTAGAAACTGTTGGTTATTAACTTATCGTGTATATTTTTGTGCATTAACTATTAAATGGTATCTTTAGCTAATTGTAATCAGTGGGGAAACTTATTGTCTTTTTTTTTAACAGACAGGAGTGGTTATCATAGATGGATGGTTAAGGCTGGCAGCTGCTGCACAGACTGCTGTCCTATTCAAGCAACTTCGCGTAACACTTGATGCTGTTCTGAAAGAATTGATAAGAAAGCCAGAGGTATGGTGTCTCCCCTTGTTTTAACGTACAAGGAATAACACCTACTCATGAAATGAGATATTGTGCAGCTGTAGTGTCTCCTGCACATCTCATCATATAATTTCTCTCCCTGACCTCATTGGCTCACTGTAATAAAAGGCTGGTTCACTTGTATAGCTTTGTGGAAAGGCTTGATACAATACACGCGGGATAGTTTACAGTCAATATGCTGCAACTTGTATTTTCTAATTATCTTGTTTGTATGGTCTGCTTCCAGATGGCAACTTTTGTTGACAATGAAGTGGTCAGATCCATTATTCATTTACTGTTAGAAGAAGAAAAGGCCCAACAAGCATGAAATTATGGTAATCTCTTCATATTAAGTTTTTTCTTGTAACGTAACTGAAAGATCAGTGTCAAATATTATCTCACAGATACAGTAGTCACAACTTGGCTATTTGTGGAGCATTAGAATTTGCATGGAAATTAGTTTCTTCGAGTTTTGCATGGAACTCCTGCCATAAAAATAGACCTGTAACAATAGTCGCATGATTAGCATTTTGCTTGATCACTTGTAGCAGTTATTGTAAGTATGAAGTAACTATAGTTGGCTTGGTATTGGTAGCTTTCTTCAATGCAGCAGCTTAATTTCTGTGTTTTGTTTCCATTAGGTCAGTGGATTATGGTATACCATATAACAACGGAAACATAGCAGAATCAACTTCAGAGGTTAGGACACTAATTTCTGGATGCACATTATTATTAGAATGAATACTTATACTTCAATAACTACTACTAATATTTTGTGTATATGTCCTTTCAAAAAAAATATTTTGTGTATGTTTATGTGCATCTGAATATCTGATATCTCTAACTCTGCCCAGTCAATGAGAACTACTCTTGTATATCCTTTTGTGTCCCCTCCATGTGATCCTATGATTTCTTCTCTCTTACACACATGAGAAATCGTGAGTATGTCCCACCTTGTCCATTCCATTTGACAGTCCAGCATAAGTGCCGTGCACGTTTCACGGGCCGCCAATAGGATGGACTCGCTAGCAATGCATATCCAAGTATTGTCGGCAGCTGCTGGCCTTTTTCCAGCAAATTGACTTGACATCTATACGCTAGCCTTTCCTACAACATAATGGATGAGATCTAGCTGCTGCAGACTGATGATTCTCAGGCCTTGCTTATGTTGCTGTTCGTTTTGTTCTGTGCAGGCATCCAAACTGTTCTCTCTTGCCCCACACTCCGTAGCCATTTTGGCTTGCAAAGCTTGGTGATTGGCATTTTTGAAGCTTCAATGCAGAAAGGGGCATTTGCTTGACTAAGCAACAAAAAACAGATATATGTTACAATAGAGAAAAAATTCTTGAAATTCTTCCTGTCCCTGATGTGGAACACAAGTACTTCCTCCGTTTCACAATGCAAGTCATTCTAGCATTTCCCACATTCATATCGAGATTAATGAATCTAGATAAATATATATGTCTAGATTCATTAACATCAATATAAATGTGGGAAATGCTAAAATGACTTACATTGTGAAACGGAGGGAGTATACCTCAATTCGTCCATGTAAGGAAAGACTGCAGCAAATGGAGCACAGCTTGTCTAGAGTATTCATTCGCTCGAATGCAATTTCCTTTCGCAAGAATTTGCTATGCCGATGAGATCCTGTATGCATGTTAAAAGGTGTACTTCAATGTTATAGTAAGGAATAGACTAGTGTACAGTGGATGATATCTTGCGTATCATGAAACTGAACATATACGCTTGCCTACGGCTACAAATACTTATTCAACGCTGAGCTTCGTGAACTCCGAGGATCTGTACTGTTGGAATGGATCAGGGTTGACGTTTGTACCTTCCGGTGCTATTAAACCTTTGACGCAACGAACATGAGAACATGTTCAAATCGAAGTGCTCTTATGTTCAAATCAACTACTCTTGTCCACCGGCCAAGGTCTCCATATGAATATGGACGACTAGTGCGAACCTGGAGAAGTCACAATTTTAGACGCCTACCCAGTTTCAACAGTATATTCTATTACGGCTCTTTGATAGTTGAAAATCTGCAGGTTCTGTTTATTGTGTCATGAGCTGCAGGATCACAGGGTGTCTACCAAAGTAAGGCATCATAGATACCAAGAGAGCTAGCAACATCCAGTATGATGTAAAAGCAAAGGCATTATATCATATGCTCAGAATTGCGAGAAATAGAGTTTGTTATCTAAATACTCTACTAAGCTCCATTTATTTTAAGACCCTGTTTGGCCTGGCTTCAAGCCTCGACTCTTACAGAAAATAAGCTTGTTGTCTAAAATAAGGTGACAACTTGCTGAGTTTGAGGAGAAGGGGATTGAGAAGTCACAATTTTAGACGCCTACCCAGTTTCAACAGTATGTTCTATTCTATGATAGTTGAAAATCTACAGGTTCTGTTTATTGTGTCATGAGCTGCAGGATCACAGGGCATCTACCAAAACAGGGTAATTTTGAACCATGCCATTATAATTTTGTAAAGTTTGAGATATGCCATCGGTATCTCAATGACATGTAGATCCCACATGAGTCAATGACATGTGGGTCAGGATGAACATATCTCAAATTTTACAAAATTATAATGGCATGGTTCCAATTTTCCCACCAAAATAAGGCATCATATCTGCCAAGAGAGCTAGCAACATCCAGTATGATGTAAAGCAAGGGCATCATACCATATGCTCAGAATTGTGAGAAATAGAGTTTGTTATCTAAATACTCTACTAAGCTCCAATAGAGTTTCTTTAGGTCTTATAATGCACGGGAAATATACCATTTATATTAAGACCCTGTTTGGCCTGGCTTCAAGCCTAACTTCTCGACTCTTACAGAAAATAAGCTTGTTGTCTAAAATAAGATGGCAACTTAGTGTTTGCAAGGTGGTACCAAAATTTTATGCTTATTACTAATCAAAGTACTACCGTACCCAGTACCTCCTTGTACCGTAGAATCACTCCTTCCAATATTTTGAGAAAAAGCACAAAATTTTAGCGAAAAAAGCAAAGGAGAAGCGATGGAGAGAGTAGAGTGGCACAGAATGATCCAACTGTCGGCATTTCTGTAGGGCCATTGTTTCAAGAAAGCAGGACAGTAGTGCGACAAGCAGCGGCAGTCACACACGGATGGCTCAGAGAAGTCAGGTCTCGGCAACAACAACGGTTTATACCCATTTCAACCCCCCCCCCCTCCTCCCCTGCCAAAATTTCCATTATCCCCTATCTCCTTCACACTTCGTCGCATCTTCCTATCACTATATACCACTTCACTTTTGCTGCCCACCCAACTACCTCTCTTTCCTTTTCCACAGATTTTACTTGTTCCATTCCACAGAGTCAAGTCCACAGAACGTATGCTCCATGTTCTTGACGTACACGCTGATGATGCTATAGCTTGCATGAGTCAATGTTAAGCTTGTTATGTAATATACTAGTAACAACCATAGTGGAATCTCAAAGCTAGCTTACAAACCTTAAACTATATTGGAGTACTTCTGAAGTGTGAAGTCTGAACATTACCTCCCCCAGAATATAAAATTGCATCGGTCGAGGCTTGTCATGAGCAATTTATATATATATATATATATATATATATGCCCATATGGTCAGACGGGACCAGGCATAACAGTGTAGAAGCACACCCCTGCGGTATGAACATGACATATAGCAATTGAACCCAAAGCATAAACATTGGTACAATATACTAAGACACTGGAATTATACTACTATATATGAGTAATAACTAATTGTCAACATCTATCACACACATTGTTAACACAAACACTAATAATGAACAATTTCTTTCCAAGCTACATGTAGACCAGAGAAAGAGAGGGTCAGAGAGGGAGATAGCTAGCCTAGCCTAGCCTAGCAGTGGAACCGGTACAATATCGACAGATGACAGGTACACATAGAGAGAGAGACAGATAGATCCTTTTGCAGAGGACAAAGAGGAAAGCCAAACGACCCAACCGCATATCCATTTCTTGGAATCCAATGGCGAGTCCAGCCAAAACGTCCGCGAAGCATAGGCATTTCTTGCATCCAAAGCTACGCCGATCGAGAGATTTCGCGCCAGATTCCCCTCCAATTCCCGCGCTTATATATATATCCCTCGCCTTCGCCTCCACCCATTCCTCTTCCTCCTCCTCCTCCTCCTCCGCCATTGATCTCCATTGCCGCATGCGAGAGAGCTTGGAGAACAGACGAAGAAGATATATTGCATCAATCCGTTTCTCTTGGAGGTTGGAGATCGATTGGGATTTCAAGGTGACGAGGAGTAGATGAACTTGAAGTTGAGTCTTGCCATCGATGGTGGTGGTGGTGGTGATGCGGCGGCGGCGGTGGCCAAGAAGAGTAAGGTGGTGGGGGGCGGCGCCGTCGTCGTCGATGGCGTCGGCAGCAGCGCCATTTGTGGCGGCGATCGGGGTAGCAGGGTGAGAGATCGGATGGTCAAGAAGGCGGAGGAGTTTGACCATGAAAATGGAATGGCGGCGACGTCGTCGGATGGTGGCGGCGGCGGCGGCGGCGGCATGGAGCTGGTGCGCTTGCTTCTGTCGGCGGTGGCCGCCGGGGAGGCGGGCGACGCGCGCGCGGCGGCCGCGGCTCTGCGGGAGGTCGACCGCCGCGCGTCGTGCCGCGGCGGCGGCGACCCAGCGCAGCGCGTCGCGGCGTGCTACGCGGCCGCGCTGGCGCCGAGGCTGGCCGCCGGGCTCCGGCCGGCCAGATCTTCGCCGGCGGCCCCAGCGGCCGCGCGGGCCGAGCAGTTTCTGGCGTACACCATGTTCTACCAGGCGTCGCCGTTCTACCAGTTCGCGCACTTCACGGCGAACCAGGCGATCGTCGAGGCCTTCGAGTCCGGCGGCCGGCGCCGCCTCCACGTCGTCGACTTCGACGTCTCGTACGGGTTCCAGTGGCCTTCGCTGATCCAGTCCCTGTCGGACGCCGCCGCCGCCGCCACCAGCAGTTCATCCCACGACGACGACGACAACGGAGGCGGCTGCGGCGACGGTCCGGTGTCCCTGCGGATCACCGGCTTCGGCGCGAGCGCCGACGAGCTACGGGAAACCGAGGCGCGGCTCCGGCGGTTCGCCGCCGGCTGCCCCAACCTACGGTTCGAGTTCGAGGGCATCCTGAACAACGGATCGAACACCCGCCATGATTGCACCAGGATCGACGACGACGCGACGGTGGTCGTCAACCTGGTGTTCCCGGCGAGCTCAAGAGAAGCGTGCGCCGCCACAAGAATGGCTTACATCAACTCCCTGAACCCGTCCATGGTGTTCTTGATCGAGAAACACGACGGCGGCGGCGGGCTCACCGGCGGCGACAACACCACTACAGGAAGAAGCGCGAGCTTGCTCCCGCGGTTCGCCGCCAACCTCCGATACTTCGCCGCCGTGTTCGACTCGCTCCACGAGTGCCTCCCGGCGGACAGCGCCGAGAGGCTCGCCATCGAGAGGGACCACCTCGGGAGGGAGATCGCCGACGCCGTGGCCTCGCTAGACCACCAACACCGCCGCCGCCATGGCGGCGGCGGCGGCGGCGGCGATCACGCAGCAGCTAGCTGGAACTGGAAGGCGGCCATGGAGGGCGCCGGGCTCGACGGCGTGAAGCTGAGCTCGAGGACGGTGAGCCAGGCGAAGCTGCTGCTCAAGATGAAGAGCGGCTGCGGCGGCGGCGGGTTCCGCGTCGTGGAGGGCGACGGCGGCATGGCCATGTCGCTGGCGTGGCGTGACATGGCTCTGGCTACGGCGACCTTGTGGCGGCGGCGACGGCGGCGGCGGCGATGTCGGTGACAGCAGCAGAGAAAATCTCAAACATATACAGTACAGGAAATTTAATAGTTCATACATACATACAAAAAAAAAGAGATCGTCTATGAGTTCATTCTCCTATTTCTTAGGATCGCCTCTAATTAGTTTTTGTTCATTTATTCTTGATTTGCGATGCTTGATTCAAATTCAATTTTGTTCTTATTCTCTTATACTTTGATAGTTCATACATGTATACTAGATTTACTAGATTGAAAAGAATTATATACACATGAGTACATAATAATAAGCAAGGCATGATAATTTTCAGTTAATACATAGTTAGATATATGCATGATCAGCTAACTAAGTAATCCTCAGAGTTAAAGCTAGCTTAATTGTATCCTGAAAATTTTCTTTTATCTTTTTTTTCTCCTACAGAACAGTAAAGTTCCTACTGTCCAATTGACCTCATGCTAAGTCAAAATCAAACTGAGTTTCATATCTTAGGCCGTGTTTAGATCCAAAGTTTGGATCCAAACTTCAGTCCTTTTCCATCACATCAACCTGTCATACACACACAACTTTTCAGTCACATCATCTCCAATTTCAACCAAAATCTAAACTTTGGATCCAACTAAACACAGCCTTAGATTCTTAGATTCAGACATACAGTAAACAAGCTGATCTAGCAGTTACTTTGTAGTACTCCAATCACATTTCAACACTGACAATGCAAGGAAGTTACCTTAACTGCAAAGGTAAAATCATCAAGAATTTACAAAAAGGCGTCAACACATGCATTTAGAAAGGAGATAATACACATATAGTAGGACAAGTAGGCACCATGCAGGAGTGGTTCACCAAACTGTTGGTCTGCACCTAATAAAGATTTGCTGGGCAGATAGCATTGTTGAAATGCTGCCATTTGTGCCGATCTCTTCCGAGCAAAGTTAATTAATCACTTTTAATCTCCTTTTATGAACAGTGTGAGGATAGAGGATAGAGATCATCATAGACAGTGATCTACTTAGAATTAATCATCTGCACAATGGCCCCCACTTCGATCTGACTTTCTCAATTAGCATCGATCGTTCATGCGTGTGAATGAGAATCGATATAATTCTATGGATGAGACATACTAATTTGCTTCTTCTTCATAGCATCTGAAAAAGAAAAGGAAACAGGATGATCCGTACTGAAAAACAATAGGAATTCGGTCCCCCAGATCGACACCATGATTCACCCTAGCATTAAAATCGTGTTCTTTTGCGTGTAGAAAGGTGTAAACCATACAGCCATTTCGAAACGCAAAATCATGTTGAAACTTTAAAAGAAGTACTACGATAAAAGTCCATATTTGCATGCAAACATGTAAAAGAAAAGCCATGGTGGACTAGGCGCCAGCTCAGCTGATAATTAAGGTGAAAAAACAACATAAGTAACTGACACTAAAATATATTTTTTGTACTAAATGGTTGAATAGTCCAATGGTTTGGGATAATTATCCGAGTGTACTCCCTCTTTTCCAAAATATATAATTCATCCCTATAGTTTGAGTTATTTTGGAACAGAGCAAGTACATAAGAATGAAATTGAATATTATAAAGTTGAAAATGGATTTCAACAATATTTCTAATAAATTCATAAATGCAAGGTTCTTATAAGAAACAGCATTGTTAGAAGCTCGAGAAGCGTGCCCATTCATCCACCGTTCTATGTCTTTTGAAGAATAGCGACACGTACGATTTCTCTTTGTGATCAACCAGTACGTGTGAAACTAGCACTCGATTCACAAGAACTATCTTTTTTGACTTATTCAAGATGCTCCAAATCTTGGCCGGAATTCTTAAATTCAGGAGCAAAGACTCTTCCAAATTCCACAGGCAGGAACGCTGAATTCCCTCACCCCGGCCAGATCCAGACGACGCTAACCAGATGCGAATTGTTTTTTTACCTCCGATGACCGAGCAATTAAAGATGTTCTTTTGCTCCATGTTTTCCATCGAATCTCACCAAACTCTGCTTAATTACTTGTTCTGCAATCTCTCAGAATTCAGAGTTTTTCAGGTCAATGTAAGGAACGTATATTTCCATCCTCTTTCTCCAAGGAGTGGACAAAAAGTTCAGGTCACATTCAGAGTTTCAGAAAACGCAGGTCGCATTCAGAGTTTCAGACACTGCATGAGTCCAAACACCCCCCAAATGGGAGATTCCATTTTGGCAGGTGGACATGAAAATGCACCACATGCCAAGCTAGCTTCTTAGCAATTGATGAGCAGCTATCAACGAGACGATGCAAATAGAATTATCCGGCATCGCCGGCTTTTGATTCGATTCGATATTTCGAATTTTCGATCCATCGCTTTCGCCCGTGATTTCTCTCCAAAGTCCCACGGTTCTTGTCGCTGTCGATCGATGCATGCGTTCGCGTGAAGCTTTTTCTTGATTGGCTTCTCGCTTGCAGAAACGATCGATCGATCGGCAGCTCGATCTGGGATATCCCAGTGTGGAATCAAGCACGCGACAGCGACTTGGTTAATCAGCTCTCTGCGTTTTGCTCTGACGAGAATCAGTGACAGGAAATGGAGCTCCTGATAATTTCTAGGGCAGCATCAAACAAACGCGTGTTGCTTTCGATGGACACATTGCCCTCTTGGATTGGGTATAGGAGTACTACTCCTGTGGAGGTTTATTGATTTGGAAAGGAGATCGAATCGATGGAAAAAAAAATTAGATTGAACAATGAGGTATCTGTGGGTCAGATTTGTACATTTTTTGTTCGAGCATCTTGATCTGTCAATTCCTGTGTGAATGTGTGTATACCTGTTAGTTAATTATATGCGGAGATACTAATTCATCGCACTGATCGATCGAAGAACAATGCTGCTAGCTGTGAGGCTTTTGTATTCGGTAAATGATTACAGGTCTAGGCTGTCGCTGCAAATCACTGGTCTTTTCTTCTTCTTCTTTTTCCCAAACAAAATCACATATTTTCTTATCCACTTTTAATCAATTTTCCTTCGCAGGTGGTGAACTGAGCTCAGCTGGTTAATGAATGGAACTATGGAACCTACAAGGTTTAACTCATATGCTTGTATTTATTGTTAATTATTCTTTAAATAATAAGCGATGTAAATTCCCAGTGGCTATTATATCTCACAGAAGATAGTGGCATGCGGTCGACACGATGATACCAAAATGTTTTTCTTTTACTAGTGGTTAGCAAAATTTATCGGGCTATTCAAATTTCAAATTATTTTGGCCAAATTTTGCTGGAGGGTTTGTGCTTTGGCCTCTGTCTGGGCTTGGCCTGTATCTTGTCTCGTCACTCATCACTCATCAGCCCTGACTAATTAGCGACCAAGAATCAACCAAGCGCCGTCAAAAGCAAGCAGCTGTGGGCTGTGGCGTCTAGAGCCTAGAGGCGTGGTTACGCTGGGCAATTATTTCATGGGCTATCTATACATTTGCCGATAATTTTTTCCCTAAATTTGTCAGATGTAAATATAGTACAATCGTAGTATAACTTGTATGTAACTGCAGCATAATTTGTACGTAATTTTCAAAACTCCCGGTGTGACGCTATTTCCACGAGGTGGAGGTCGGGGGGTGGGGGGAACCAAATCATCTCACCCATGCGGATGCATACAAACTTTGAAGTAAATCTAACGGTTCCAAATTATATGAAAGTTATATAGAAGTTACATTGTATATTAAAATGGAATTACACTATCATATTGTATTTACTTTCTGATTGTCAGCATATGTATAGAAGAACGAATCATCATTCAGGTGTAAGATTTGGTTGTGCAAACAGAGATTTTGATGGTGGAATTGCCGATTGCGTTGCAGATTTTGATGGCGGAATACCCTGATGAGGTTGGTTCTTGCTTTGGTCTGTTTAGGATTTTCTCTTGCTGTCACATTCTGAATGTAACCACATCAGTGGGAGTGGCAAACTGTGTTCAGTTAACTACAATGCACACTCCAACCCCCTAAATTTGGTCTTCAGCAAAGCATTGTTCCATTTTCTATTATTGTCACTTATGTTTCCTATGTACACCTTGGACTCAACATTATGCCCCTGATCATGTACATTGGTCCATTTTGTTAGTTCCACAATCCATTATTGTTCGTTTGTCTTAAGGAGGGTGTAATTTCACCATTCCGGTTACTGACAAAATTTTCCTTTCTGAAGAGCTGCAATCTCACCTCTCTGTCCCAACCCAAGCGATGAACCGAATACATGGACAATAGCAGTAACAGGATGGCAAGGATAGAGGGACTGCAACTCTGAGAAAGAAGATGCTCAATGAGATGGTTTTATTCAATACATTATGTTTCTGCATGCTAACTTAAATCAGTCATTACAAAGACAGTGACAGAACCACTTTGGTAATTTACACTGTTGCAGCATCAAAGAGAAGAAAAGAAAAAATGAAACTGAAAAAAGAAAAACAAGACTGCAAACTACAGAATGGGAGTGTGACCATCAGCTGCCACATTATGACAATATCTCCAGTTTGCAATCTTCCTGTGCTGCTGGACAGAAATACTCAGCTGAGCTGAAACTCACCACTGGCATGGACTTGTTTCACCTGCTTGTCGTACTCATCCTCAGCATCTTCCTCTTCCTCCTGTTCTTCCTCTGGCTTCTTGCTGTTGTCCTCCTGCTCATCCTCCTCTTGCCAGCCAAAGCCGGCCACGGGGGTGGAGGACCGAGGCGGCGTCCGCGCTTCCTCGACAATCTTCATGATCTCCTCGACCGACTGGACGGAGTAGGTCGGGGCACTGTTATCCTTCTTGTAGTACATTGCCTGTGCAGCTTCTGTGAGCTCTCTTGGCAGGTTCTTCAGGAACCATGGGTGGTTCCTGATCTCCCTTATTGTTATTCTCTGTATGAAGTTTGGGAATGATTTTTTTTTTAAAAAAATCATGAATAGGTCTAGTAAGTTGATCTGAGTTTAAATAGAGTAGTACCTTTGCAGGGTTTGCAACAAAAATTCTAGAAAGGAGTTGCCTGCAGTCCTGGGATACATGGA